GCAGATGCTCAACGACTGAGCCACCCAGGCGCCCCGATAATATCCCCTTTCACCTGAGAATAACCAGTGGGTCCAATCCTCAAACTATTCATAGGTGGGGAAGTGGAGACCTAGGGAGGAGAAACCCTGCGTCTTTACTTGGATTCCCCCGGGGACGAGGACTGTGCGTGGTTGGTAGTGCTGGAAGCAGAAGTGAGGAGAAAAAGACTGGAAGAGAAGCTAGCACAGAGTGTTGTCGAGGTCACAGCCAAGGCAGCAAGGGCTTGACCCACCAAGACCTCTGAGAAGGGACAGACACCTCCCAGATCTGTCCAGCTGCAGAAGGGGAGAATTGAAGCCCCCCCCAGCAGACAGAATCCCAAGGAACGGTCCCAGTAGCAGAAACCAGAGATGCTCCATGGGGGTGACATGGGACACCAGAGGTGTCTGTGGCAGTTGCCCACCCAGCCAGCAGCATACCTGGGATGAGACCTCAGACACTCCCGCCCACCCCACCCCCCGCTGTCCCCGATGCCAGCCTGGTGCTCACCCACTCCCCACAGAGCTGCAGCGGGTGTCCCCACTATGGGACTCATCCTCGGCTCCCTGGTCCAAAGCAGCCAGGCTGAGCAGCCTCCCTGTCAGCCTGCCTCGTGACCCGCCTCCTGCAAGATGGCAGCGGGCTCCTCTCCCGTTTGTGGGGAAACCCCGTTTTGCTCCCCTCTGCCCTGCATACCTTGTTCTTCCCAGAAATTCTCCCCCACAAGACCCACGCAGTCAACAGAAGAGACACGTGGTCTTTCTAGCTTAGCAGCTGCAGTGCCACATGGTCAGCATTGGTCCTCAGGCCCCACACGACGCCCTCTCTCATGGGAACAGGGTCTGAGACCTGTTGCACCCCTCCCCAAGAGACCTCAGCGGGAGCCTGGCCCCTGTCCCCCAGAGGGGCCAGCAAACACACGCAGGCCTAAGCCTACCGTGTGATCCTTTTAGTTCTGGGGGCCTTTTCTGTTTTTGTTTTTAAAATAATTAATAGGTTTTTTGTTTTGTTTTGGGTTTTTTGTTTTTTGTTTTTTTGTTTTGTTTTGAGTACAGTTTGAGAGTTACAGAATGACTGAGCCTTTCTATTGGGTCCTGGTTCCTGGGGGTGGGGATAGGGATGGGGCAGGGGCGGGCGTTTCTGAAGCAGCCCCTCCCACGTTGTAAGCAACCTCCCTCCCAGCCGGGTGCCAGCCCTGGGTGCCAGCGAGGCCCGGCCTGGCGCGATGGAGTCCAGCTCCACACAACCCTGTCTCCCCACAGTTCCAGAGAGGCGGATAACACCATCCCCCTGCCCATTGGAGGCCTCAGCTACGTCCAGGGCCTCACAAAACCTAGTCTTATCCACGAGACTGTGGGGCGGTGCCTGGAAGCCACAGCACAGAGGGTCCCTGACAGAGAGGCCTTGGTCGTCCCCCAAGAAAACATCAGGTTGACCTTTGCCCAGCTCAAGGAGGAGGTGGGTCCTGGTCTTGAACCCCCGAAGTAGGCAGGTGCTAGCCCCCAGGCTGCACTGGCTGGGTAGAGCTGCAGGGGCCGAAGCTGGCTGTGGGGCAGGGGGCTGGGGCGGCCTGAGGACCCCAAGGGATGGCAGGAGAACGGGACAGGGCTGAGGCAGAAGGGGCCACCTGCACCTGATGTCACCTGCACCGCTCCCTCCTGGGATGCTTGTTAACTATGCATAGCCCCAGGCCCACTGTGGCCTGGGAATCTGCCTGTCCCTCGTTCCCAGCGGGTTCTGTTGGGAACCCCTGGGCCAACGGCTGCGGTGGGAGTCATGGGCCCCTTCCTGCTCGCCCGCATCTCACCCCTCATGCCCTGTTTACACCAGGTGGACAAAGCTGCTTCTGGGCTCCTGAGTATCGGCCTCTGCAAGGGCGACCGGCTGGGCATGTGGGGACCCAACTCCTACGCGTGGGTGCTCATGCAGCTGGCCACCGCTCAGGCGGGCATCATTCTGGTGAGCAGGGGCTTGCCCGGTGCAGCTGGGTGTGTAGGGAGTGCATATTTCAGGGGGACTCCCCAGCTCCTCGGCCCCCAAACCACCAGAGGGTAGCGCTTTCTTCTGAAGCCCCTCCCAAGGAGGCCCGGAAGTGTAGGGCACTGCCTCTGACCACATGGTGTTTCTGTGCCTCCTAAGAACGGAGGGGTGGCTAGAGGGACAGGATCAAGCCAAGACACTGACTGACATCCCCTTGCTGTCTCCACCAGGTGTCCGTGAACCCAGCCTATCAGGCTATGGAGCTGGAGTATGCCCTCAAGAAGGTAGGACCCGCTCCTAGGGGAGGCATGCACAGGTGGGGGACACCCAGAGTCTGTCCTTGGGGTGGTTGGTCAGACACAAGGCTGGGGCGTGTGTTGAGGTGGCACATGCGTGTGTCAGGGCGGTAGCGCCTGAGTGAGGTGGTGTGCATGTGTGAGCAAGAGTAACTGTTAGAACTACCCCAGAGCCCCCGCCTGGAGCCCCCTGCTGACCGTGCTGGGGGGGGCGGGGCTCCACCTCCACAGGTAGGCTGCAAAGCCCTCGCTTTCCCCAAGCAATTCAAGACCCAGCAATACTATCACATCTTGAAGCGGGTCTGTCCAGAGTTGGAGAAGGCCCAGCCAGGAGACTTGAAGAGTCAGAGGTGAGGGTGTCCGCCCTTGGGAAGGGTGCATGGTGTGGCCCCCTGGCCCCCGCGCCCTCAGGGATGAGGCTCATGTCTCCCTAGGCTCTGACTCTCACTACCCTCCCAACCGCCAGGCTCCCAGACCTGACCACGGTCATCTCGGTGGACGACCCTCTGCCAGGGACCTTGCTCCTGGATGAGGTGGTGGCCTCTGGAGGCAAAGAGCAGCATCTGGCCCGGCTCCGGTACAACCAGCAGTTCCTGTCCTGCCATGACCCCATCAACATCCAGTTCACCTCGGTAGGGCAGAGGTCTCCAGGCTGGCATGCTACCCCCTGCCCAACCCTGTGACCCTTGCCCAAGACCAAGGAGGTCCGGAGTGCAGACACTCTCCTCCTGGGGCTGGCCCTAGCTGTCCTCTCTGCTCTGGAAAACATCAGCCACTGGTGTCCTTGTCACATGCCCCCCGCCCTCGTCTTCTCATCCTCAGCCCAGGGCCGGATGCACTGGCGGCACAGGCCAGAGCTGACAGATCTGCCTCCTCATTTAGCAGATGAGGAGACTGAGGCCCAGGGTGGGAATCTGCTGGTGGGCCACAGAGTCCTCTGAGCAACCTTATGAGTGGCATAAGGACAGAGACCTTACCTTCCACACCTCTGGATCCTAACACCTGGCACCGTGCAGGCGCCTGCTAAACCGTGAACACGTGTTCAGTGAATGAATGGATCTGGGGCAATAGTCCCCGTCTCCCGATGCCCCGTTCCAGGGCTCTCCCACACAGGGGCCCAGAGTGGGGAAGGAGATGGGGAGCAGGAGGCCAAGGATCACCTGCTTGTCTTATCAGGGGACGACAGGCAGACCCAAGGGGGCCACCCTCTCCCACTACAACATTGTCAACAACTCCAACCTGATAGGGGAACGGCTGAGGATGCACCTGAAGGTGAGGGGCCTAGCCCGGGCCCTGCAGGGGGCGGTTGGGGGGGGGTCTTGTTGGGTTCCCCCTGCTGGCTAGACGAACTGGCCCCTGGGGCTTTGGGCTCCGGATAGAACCGGCTTCCCGCCTCCAACCCCAGATGCCGGAGGAATCACGGATGGTCGTGCCCAGCCCCTTGTACCACTGCCTGGGTTCTGTGGGGGGCACAATGGTGAGCATGATGTATGGCGCCACCCTCATCCTACCCTCTCCGACCTTCAATGGCAAGAAGGCGCTGGAGGCCATCAGCAAAGAGAGGTGGGCATCAGTGGGCAGCCCCCCCCCCCAGGGGCTGATGAGACCCTCCTATTCCTCACTCCTGGGCCCTGATCCCTTTTGGAGATGTCTCCTCCCTTCAGCCCAGAGAAATGGAGACCAGGGGTAGTGGGAGACTCCCATGGGAGGACAAGTTCCTGCCTCCAAAGAGCTTCTCCTTGTTTCCCACATATGCAGCCTCGGCCCTTACTGCAGGTTCAGGGTGGGATGGGTCAGAAGAGGGAGTTCCCTTCCCCTTCCAAGCCTGATTTTGAGACACCCCCCCCCCACCTTACACAGAGGCTCCTTACTATATGGCACCCCCACAATGTTTGTGGACATTCTGAACCAGCCAGACTTCTCCAGTTATGACATCTCGGCCATGCGTGGAGGTAGGTTAGGGCCAAGGGTGGCCAGGCCAGGATTGCTGAGCTAGATATGTGCCCAGCCTTTTATTTAGGGGGCAAAAAGCTCACCGTAGAAGAGTGGGTGGGAAGGAGGCAAATCCTCAGTGTCCCTGGACACCAGCCCAAGGCCAGCTGCCAGGTGTAGGAATAAGTCCAGGGTCAGAGGGGAACGTTCTTCTCTAGAAGGAGCTGCAGGTGAAGGGGGTCCACTGGGCCTGGAGAAGCGGGGAGCTGTGTCAGTCCTCTCTCTGATTCAGGTGTGATTGCTGGGTCCCCGGCACCCCCAGAGCTGATCCGAGCCATCATTGACAAGCTGAACATGAAGGACCTGGTGGTGAGTGGACGGAGGCTGGGCTGGGGCTGTGGGTAGGGGGCAGGCCGCGCTGGGGTGCGGACAGGTGGGTGTGGGAGGAGCTCAGACCAGATCTCCAAGGAAGACCCTCTCAGCTGGCCCTCCTTCCAGAAAGCAGATGTCAGAAAGTTGACCTCACTGGCAGCTGGCCAATCATAGAAATAGGTGACGGGGGCACCTGGGTGGCTCCATCAGTTAAGCATCTGGCTTCGGCTCAGGTCAGGATCCTGGGATCCCGGGATCGAGTCCCGCATCGGGCTCCCTGCTCTGCGGGGGAGTCTGCTTCTCCCTCTGACCCTCCCCCCGCTCATGCATGCTCACTCACTCTCTCTCTTGCAAAAATAAATAAATAAAATCTTTAAAAAAAAAATAGGTGACCAGGGGAGTAAATATTACATATACATAAATTTATATTTATGGAAATCTGGGAAAGAAGTGCAGCATGGGAGGGTATGCGGCAAAGCACCAGTGTCCTGCTAGAGTGTCCTGGCAGGTGGGGGGTGGGGGGCTGGCGGAGCTGGGGTATGGGCTCAAGACCGTTTCTGGAAGCAAGGGGTGGGGCAAGGATCTGATGTTTGTTTCCAAATGGCAAGGTAAAGGGGAGCAGAGGGGAAGAGGATTCTGGAAGGGTGGCCGTCCTGATGGCTGCCCTGTTCTGGTTCTGAAGGACTTGGGGTCTTGGCAGCAGCATCTCTGAGAGGAGCCATGGCGGTGGGGCCAGGCGTGATGGAGCTCTCACCAGCAGGTGGAGCTGGGTTCGTGCTGGAGCGCCCGAGCCCCCCTGCCAGGACGTGTCTAGATGTGGACAGCTCTGGCGCCAGCAGAGGCTGTGGGGAGAATGTGGGGGTCAGAGGTGGGAAGGTCAGTAGTTTCTCCCGCTGAAGGCAGAGGCCGGTCACCAGGACCGGCTGGGTCAGGACCTGTGGTGAGGCAAAGTTCAGTGTCAGGAGTCCAACAACCCAGACAAGGCTTGCCGAGAATGGTGGGAGTCCCAGGCAGTGTCATTTTCCCCTTTAGAAGGGGAGCCCCTGTCCTTCCTTCCCCTCCTCTCCCTACACAAATGGAGGGTCTGTGGGGACACCCTCCTCCCTTGCTAGAATCCCCGAGAAGGGAATGGGGGACCTGCCCACCCGTCCCCCACCTGTTTAATGGCGGCCGGCTTTCTTGGACCTCTTAGTGGGAAACTTGCAGGCGCGGAAAGCGTCCGTGTCACGGATATGCTGGCCTTTGAACTTGGCGGGCGAGGCACAAGTGGCATCAGGGCGGGAAGTCTTGGCTTCCAGCCACCTAGAGAGACAGAGAGTCGCTGGGCTTGGGGGAGAGGTGTGGGAGTGCCCGGGGAGGGGACAGCGAGCCAGGGGGCCAGGATGGACTTATCTCTAGGATGGCCTGGAACCGTCATCTTCATGTGCCAAACTCCTAGGCTCCCACACCTACTAGGTAGCAGATCTAGGACATATGGCCCAGATGTCTCCATGCGGGGCCAGGGTATCTCTGCTTCATCCCATGAGAGCACATTCTGAGGGACTGCAGGGGGGTGTTCTCACCTCCGAAGACCCCGGAGCTGGCAGGTACATTTCCAGGGATTGTTGGTGAGGGTGAGGGTCTCTAGGCTGTCAAAGGGGAAGTTGGAGGGCAGCTGGTTCAAGCGGTTGTTCTCCAGATGGACGTGTTTCAGTGTGGTCACACCCAGGAAGGCGCCGTCTGAGAACTGGGGAGTGAGGAGGACAGGAGTGAGCACCCCAGCCCCAGGGTCCAGCCTCTCCCAGCCCTATGGTCCCAGAGGGCAGTGGCTCCTTGAGGACTTTCAGCGCGACTAGGGTGTCTCAGATGCTCTGATCCGTACAACCACCTACTGAGATAGGTGCTTGTATTTCCAAAATGCAGATGGGGTGGGGGGGGGGGGCGGGGGGGGGGGTTGTCAAGTCTCTTGCCCAGGGTCACACTAGCAAGTAAACAGTAGCGGCAGGACCACACCCAGCTCCTCTTCCCCTGGCACCACGCTCCCTGCACAAACACTGGGACTGGGAGGCAGCCAGAGTTTGGCTCCAGCGGCCCGAGTTGGCACCCGGTGAAGCTGGTCAGTGTTTGGTGGGATGGGCACTGGGCCCAGGCTCCCCGCAGCCCCAGGGTCCTGGGACTTCCCCCAGCTCTGTCCTCACTGCTCCCTCCCTCACTGCTTGCCAGAGGCTATTTGTGGAGCCTCCTTGGTAGAGACTTTGGCTAGGCTGGATGGCTCCAGAGGAAACATTCTATTGGTGCCCACATCTTGGCCCAGGCATCACAGTCCTGCCTGGCCTCCCCTGCCCCAGATCAGTCCCTGCTCCCCACTAAAAGGCCACTCTGGCACTGGTGGGCCACAGGGAACTCTGACTTTATCTCTGGAGGGGCCCGGGGCTGAAGCCAGGCGGGCTCCATCCCCCCAGACAAAGGTTGGCTGCCATCCAGGTATGGTTCTGCCCTCATCCCTGTGCCTGTGGCTCAGGGAGGGGTGTGAAGTTCCCTGGAACCAGACTGTTCTGATGACGGTCTTCTACACCTTGCCCTGGTCCCCACCCAAACCTCCTGGCCGAAGCCCCTGTACACAGAGTGATTTTCCAGTCCCGAGGAGGGATTCCGCCCCAACCCCAGGCAGCCCCATCTGGGTATCACAGGGCAGAAAGGACTGAGCAAGGCTGCAGCCAGGAGATGCGTCTGGTGACCAGGGTGGGCAAAGGGCCATCAGTGCTCTGGGGGATAGTGAGGCACAGCCAGTCTTCTCCGTGGGGAGACACCTGGAGTCTTGAGCCAAAGGCTGACAGTGCTATGTGGCTCTCGCCTTTGCCCCTTCATGGAGGCCCTGAGTGCCCTCCCTGCCACCTGGAAGCCCCTGGTCCTTGGGCCCCACTCAGCTGAAATGGACCTGGGAATGCAGTGCGGTGTGGATGTGTGTGAGCTGGGGAAGAGGGAGGACATTCGCCAGGGCCTCTGGGGGACATGGAGGTCTTCTTCCTCGGCTGTTTGCTTTCCCCTCACCCCCCAGTCCCCCACCCCACCTCAGCACACATGGACACCCCCCCCCACCAAGAACAGGGTCTCTTTGTGGGCCTGATTTGCCCAGCTCCTCTGGAAAGCTTCTCAATAAACAAACCTTCCTTTATGGGGTGGTAGGTTTCCTGGAGACAGGAAAAATACAGCAGAGGAGGGATGGAAGGCCCAGCAGGAAGAGGGGGCTCCTGCCCACAGCAGGGGGTTCAGGAGCACTGGACATGCCTCCTAGGGGCCATCGCTGGGGCGAGGGCAGCCCCAGCTCCGTCTATAAGTGGGAAGCCTCAGAGGGCAGTGGCTCAGACTAGGGACAGGGACAGCAGGGCAGGCTTTAGGGTGCGGATGAGGCAAGATGAGGGACAGAGGTGGCAGAGCTCCTCTCCTTGGAGCTAGCCAGAGAGACAGAAGCAATTTTCGGGGAGAAGGGATGGCGCCCAGCCGTGGCCCCAGACCCGCGGAGCCTCGAGGCAGAAGAGGAGCCAGGGCAGAGCCCTGCGGCCAGCAGCTCACCTTCTCCAGGTTGGTGTTGTCCAGCCAGAGGGTCTCCAGGTATCTGCCGAAAGACTGGAAGGCACCGTCAGGAATGCTTTTCAGGGGGTTGTGGGACAGCTTCAGCTCCTCCAGCACCCGCAGCTTGCTGAGAGCCGCCGAGGGGTAGCTGGACAGCTGGTTCCTGTCCAGGTGGAACTTGGCGAGGTTCTCCACGTCGTCCAGAGCGCCGGGCTGCAGCGCACTGAGTGCATTTTCAGACAGGTAGAGCCAGCGCAGGTCCTTGGCGCCCTGGAAGGCGCCAGCGCGCAGCTCACGGATCTTGTTGTTGTTGAGCTGCAGGATGAAGAGGTTGACCAGCGGGGAGAGCAGCCCCCGGGGCAGCTCGGTCACCTTGTTGTGGTCCAGGTAGAGGTAGGTGAGCTCAGTCAGGCCGTCAAAGGCGCCGGTGCGCAGCACGCGGATGTCGTTGTGGGACAGGTACAAGTAGATGAGCTGCTTGAGGCCTCGGAAGGCGCCGGCCGCCACCTCGCGGGTCTGGCAGTGCTGCAGGTGCAGCGACACGAGGTTTGGCATGGCCCGAAACGAGTTGGCGGCCAGCACCGGGAAGTTGTTGCGCTGCAGGTTGAGCAGCTTGGTCTTCTCTGACACCTTGGGGATCTTCTGCAGCCCCACCTTGTCGCAGATGACGTGCTGCAGGTCGCCGTGGCAGTGGCAGTTCTGGGGGCAGGCGGCCAGTGCCGGCAGGAGGCCGGCCAGGAGGCCAAGACTGAGCAAGAGCATCGGACGGGCCATGGCCGGGACACCTGGGGCTGGGGCCTGGGGGGCAGCGGCGTCGGGGCGCGGGTAGCGGCAAGTCCTCGGCGCTGCGGGCTCCCGCCCTCTTTATACGGTGGCCCTGACCGCAGCCGGCAGCCGGAGCCAGCTCCTACGTGGAGCATCCAGGCCACCGGGCTTAACTCCCTCCCGCCCAGAGATGCGCCCCCGCCCTCGATGGGGAGGGGTGGGGCCCTGCCCCCAGCTGGGGACCGTGCGGGGGGCCGGGGCCATGACCCCCGGGGCCTCGTCCCCGAGCCCCGGCCCCTTTTCTCCCTGCGCTCAGATCCTGCCTCCCTCCCGATCCCCCACCTCCTTTCCCCATCCTTTGGGGGCTGGGGGTACGGGTGCCTCCAGAGCCCCGAGTTTACACCGAAGAGGGAGGCGTTCCCGAACTTGTTTGCACAAGTTCGCGCCCCCATGCCACCCTCCCCCCCCCCCATGCACACTCGGCGCGGCGCCCTGGCCCCGGGGAGAGAGGAAGCGGGGCCGGACGGCCGGACGCGAGTCTCGCCGCGGTTGGCCGGCCGGCGGCGCTTTAATGGCACTGTTGTGCGGCGCCGGCCGAGCGTGAGAGCCGCGCTGGCGGCGGGCTCCCCCTTCCGGCTGGACAGCGGGCCAACCCTAAGGAGATGGGCGCTCCTTCCCCGCCGCAGGAGCTGCTCTCCTGCCCCTCTCCCCGCCCCGGGCTTGAATTTCTGTCCCCGGCACTCCTGTCCCACGGTTGAAGGCGAACCAGAAATGTGGGAACAGGGGTGGGGAGTGGGGAGGCGACCCGCAGAACTCACAGACACACCTGACGACCACAGGCCACGAGTGGGGACAACTGAAGGAGCACAGTCGCACCATCTCCCCCCTTCCCACCCCTCTCCCCACCCTTCATCTCCCTAAAATATCTCCATCTCCTCATCCCCACCCCCAGTGGTCAGGACCTGCCCCTGAGGGGTCTCTCAGGGTGGTGGCCAGAGTGGCGCCAAGGTGTACTTGGCAGAGGCCAGACCTGGGCAGTGGCCCCAGGACTATGGGGGGGGGCAGTGTCAGGTCCTGGCTACCAGGGACCAGCCCTGGATGGCTCTGGTCCTGTGGGCAGCCCTGCCGCGGCTGACCAGGTCTCTGTGTCCACTTGCCAGCCACGGTGTCCGGATTCCTGTGGAAAGGGAAAGGGAGGCAGGCAGGGTCTGAGTTCCGGGCTGCCCAGTTGGGGTTGTTGTCTGTGTTTGAGAGGGGGAGGGGCGGGGCCAGACCCCAGCAGTGTGCCAGCTAACACAAAAGAAACTGGGGGTGGGGGGTGGGGTGGAGGATGGACAAAGGCCTGTTGTCTTTGCTGATCAGGAGCTAGCCCCTCTCCCAAGCTCCTTTCACCCATTGCCTCCAGAGGGGGGTCATAGTTGGCTCAGAACATTCCCTGGTGGTATTTAAGGCTCCTCCAAGGCTGGCTTCTGGTTTTCTGTTGCTCAGGATGTTCCAACCACTAGAAGTGTTAGATGGTGAGCGTGCCACTGGCTTTTAAACCCTTGCTTTGGCTACATTTTGCATTTTGATGGAAGTAAATTTACAGGAAACTCTCCAAAGCTTGGGGATCACCCACCCCAAGGCCAGGCATTGATCCCAGGTTTCGGGTGGTTTGTATCTGCACAGTTCCCAGCTAGGCCCAGGTGGGCTGGCTCTCTCATCAAGTTTATGAGACCTTCAGTTTGGAAGGGAGGGGCAGGGGATGTTGTGGTCTGAGATCAGGAAGGGGGTGCTAAGACGGCCTAGGGCTGAGGGAGAGAAGGCGGGGGCATCGGTAACACAGGGAACCACAGGCTCAGGCATGTGGCTGGTCCAGGAAGCCGGGAAACGGCGCTGACTGGGAAAGAATGGCTTCCCTGCTCTCAATTTTAATTCAGACCTGGGGACCCTGCTAGTTGAGCTAGTCAGCTCAGCACCCCAATGCCTCTGCCTCCGGACCCCTGCCCTCTGCCCAAACGTCAGTTCTCACCACTCAGCTGCCTTCCACTTTCTCCTGGGTCCCTTCCCATTCCTCCAGGGTAGCTCGCCCTCCCCTCTGCAGCCCCAGGGCTCCCTCCAAACACCCTGCCCCAATCCTCTAGGTGGCTTACGGAACCACTGAGAACAGCCCTGTGACCTTCATGAACTTCACCGAGGACACTGTGGAGCGGAAGGCAGAAAGCGTGGGCAGAATTATGCCTCACACAGAGGTGAGCCCCAGCCCCAGCCCTTCAGACCCCACCTCCTATCACTCAGCTTGGGTGCATTCCCTGGGGACGTTTATTGTCTTCAATTAGCCGTACACTCCCTCCTGGGCTGAGGCCTGAGAGGGAAGAGCTGGGGCACTGGCGGCCGTGAGCAGCCGCCGGCTGAACCCTGCAGCCTCCCTTCCTGTCTGAGGTGTGTTTTTGCCAAGCCCCACTGCCTGTCTCAGGGCAGTCAGGACAGCCTCAAAGAGGAGCCAGAGCAGAGATTTTTCCTACATAGCTCTTTCTCTCCCATAGCCTGCCCCCTGCTCCGCCCCGCCTTCCGCAGAGCACCTCTGTTTGCTTGGCATAAACACTCCATTTCCCAAGCAGCCCGTCCCTCTGAGGGCCCCTTGCACCTTGAAGGCTGACCCAGGACATCTCTCCCTCTGAAATTCCCAGCCGTGGCTCCTTGCCTGCCCCAACACAGGTGCTTGATGCCAGCCTGCACCTGGTTTCCCCTGCCTCCTTGTGCCCTGGCCCCTCTGGGGTCACTGCCCACGCAGCCCTTCCCCGGAGGCTCGCCACCATCCTGGGGCAGACCGCTCCTGCCCCGCTCCATGGGGTGAGTGTGCAGTGGCATTAGCCCCTTCCCAGGTGTCTGCAGTCTCACTGCCACTCGCCGGGGTGCCCACCTGCAAGGTAGACGGGCAAGCGGAGTTCGCCCCATTTCCCAGATGCAGCTCCCGAGGCACACAGACCAGGCTTTCCTTGCACGTTGGCTGTGGCTCCTTTCTGTGCTAGGGCTCTCTGACTCTGCCTCTCTGCCTTCTCCTGTCCCCATGGCCCTGCCACACCAGCTCCCCAGCCTCCTTAGTCGCTGCTTGATGGGAAATAAGAGGAGACTCCCTTCTCTTCTGCAGTGTTTGTAATTTTTCAGCTGGCCTGGCCCTCCACGGGCCTCGTCCTCTGCACCAGCGGCCGCCACCTCCACTTCCCTTCAGCTCCTTGCCTGCACCCTTCTTCCAGCCCAGCTCACATGTCTGGCTGCTGGGGGATCCGCTCCCTTCCCTGGATTGGGATGAGCAGAGCCAGGGGGTGGAAAAGCAAAACCCCTTCCACCCCCGTCCCCAAGGGCCCCCCCTCCCTCCTGAGGTGAGGGCGCAGGAGGCCCCAGCCTGAGGCTGCTCCCGTCCCAGGCCCAGATTGTGAACGTGAAGACGGGGACGCTGGTGGAGCTGAACACGCCCGGAGAGCTGTGCATCCGCGGGTACTGTGTCATGCTGGGCTACTGGGGTGAGCCCCAGAAGACCGAGGAGACGATTGGACAGGACAAGTGGTATCGGACAGGGTGAGAAGGCAGCTCAGGGCCTCGGAGAGGCTGGGGGCAGTGGGGGTGGGTTGGGGGCGGGCGGTCTGAAGCTGAGCTGGAAACATTAAACTACAACAGGGAGAACAGTGTCTGCAAAATCTGAGCCAAGACTCACTCATCTGTCCCCTGAACAAGTTCTCATCATGCGCCTCCCAGGGCCAACGCTGTTCTGGACGCTGGCGGTCCGAGGGGAGGCAAGAGGAGGGTCCTGCTCTTACTCTCCACCTGTCTAAACACCATGAAGACAGTAAAATAGGGTCAGAGGAAAGAAAGTGGCAGTGATGGAGAGGGGCGCTTCTCTTAGACTCGGGGGGGATCAGAGAAAGCCTCTGTAAGGTAGACATGTTTGAACTGAGACCCGATTGATTAAAAAAAAAAAAGAAAAGAAACCCTCCATGAAAAGCATATCTACAGAATGTCTTGTTCGTGCCATATCCCCCAGACTCTAGAGCAGTGCGAGAGACACAGTAGGTGCTCAATAAATGTCTGACGAATAAGGGAGCGAGCCAGTCAGAGGAAGCAGAGGTGAGAGGCCATTCCTGGGCTTTCCTCACAGAGACATAGCCGTGATGGACAAGCAGGGCTTCTGCAAGATCGTCGGCCGCTCCAAGGATATGATCATCCGGGGCGGCGAGAACATCTACCCCGCGGAGCTCGAGGACTTCTTCCACACACACCCGCAGGTGCAGGAAGTGCAGGTGAGGCACCCGGCCCAGGTGAGCACCCAGGAACAGGAACTGGGGATGGGCATGGCAGTATCTAATAAAATGTCTCTGGCTCGGGAAGGTGGTGGGAGTGAAGGATGACCGGATGGGGGAGGAAGTCTGTGCCTGCATTCGCCTGAAGAAGGGAGAAAAGACTACGGAGGAGGAGATCAAGGCTTTCTGCAAAGGGAAGGTGGGAGCCTCAACCGCCCCAAGCTGATGTTGTTTCGTTCTTCAGCCCTCTCTCCCTGCCAGCCAGCCCGCCCACGGTCCCACTGTCCCAGGTTTCACCTGCACCCCATCTCCCTAAACCTATGACCTCGCCCAGCCTCACGCTTTATCTCCCTCTGGTCCACAGATCTCCCACTTCAAGATTCCCCGATATGTCGTGTTTGTCACAAACTACCCCCTCACCGTCTCAGGAAAGGTGTGTAAAGGGACCAGAGAGGGGCAGGGTGGCCTGGGGTCCTAGGTTCCCAGAAGGCCTAGGTGGCCCCACCTATGCCTCCCTCAGCAGTGAGCAAAAGAGTCTGTCCAGAAGCTGGCAGTAGGATGACCAAGTAGCTCATCCCTGTTTGTCCCAAACTTTCCTGGCTTTACCCTAAAAAACTCCTCAGTCTCAGGCAAACCAAGCCAGCTGGTCACTGTTGCTGGCAGAGGCCCCGAGCCTGGCTCTCACTCTCTTCTTTTTCCTCTAGATCCAGAAATTCAAACTTCGAGAGCAGATGGAACAACATCTAAACCTGTGAATAAGGGACTGGGGGTCCTCCCAGGCCCTCCCTGCCCTTCCCCCACACTCCCGTCTGTCTTTGTGATTTGGCATAAAGAGTTTCTCTGTTTTCTTTGGTTGGTCTCTTGCTGGCGTGCTCTCTTGGCAGCCACTCTGGGATGGAGAAAGGAGGAGGCACTTTCAGACCTCCCACTCCTTGTCACGATAGTGCTAAGCACTTTGGCGTGCATTATCTACTTAATTTAATTCTCATTCGATCCCTTTGAGATACCAACTCAATTCTTTTTTAAAGGTATAACTCCTTGCTTTTTCACATTGTTGTCAGATTAGTCCAGCAAGATGTATTCCTTTTAAAACAATAAAAGCTGGGGCTTCTGGGTGGCTCAGTTAAGCATCTGCCTTCGGCTCAGGTCACGATCTGGGGTCCTGGGATTCAGCCCCGCATTGGGCTCCCTGCTCAGCGGGGAGTCTGCTTCTCCCTCTCCCTCTGCCCCTCCCCCCCAACTTGTGCATGCTCTCTTTCACTCTTTCAAGTAAATAAAATTTTTAAAACAATGCTTTATTAAGATAAAATTGCACATACCATCCAATTCACCCATTAAAAGTATCCTATTCGATGGTTTTTAGTATATTCATAGATATGTGCAATCAACCCCGAAGTCAATTTTTTTCATTGAGGTATAGTTAACACACAACGTTACATTTGTTTCCCAGAGTCCATTTTAAACCTCTTCATCACCTTAAAAAGAAACTCCATACCCTTTAGCTATCATCCCACATCCTGTTATTCCACTGCCCAGGCTAAAACCAACCCAATTTTTTTTTTTTTTAAATAGATGAACCTGGGGCTTCCTTGATGGGCTGGGCCAGATCTAGCATGCTGGAGCTCCACGCAAGAAATAAAAGCAGCTGGGTTCCAAAAGGCACATCAGTTTCTAGTTCACAGAGGCCAAAACTTTCCTGCTGCTTTCCATACTTACCTCCCAGTGTGTCTGCCCCCTCCAGCAGCAGCCTCTTTACTTTTCAGAAAATTCAGAAAATTTACTTTTAGGATGCTCCCAGTGCCAGAAACTATGCTAAGTGCTTTCATATGCGTTTTCTCTTGAAATTTTCCCAGCAACCCTGCCAAGTAGGCACTAGCCTAATTTCACAAAGGGTGAGACCTGGAAACTCAGAGAGGTTCAGATTCTTACCCAAAGCCACACAGGTGGAATTAGAACCCAGATGTCTGGCTCCAAAGCCCACAATCATTCCACTTTATCAAACAGTTTCTTCAGGTGCCTGCTTCTCCAGCCTTTCACCTGCACCTCGTCTCTCATACCTACACCATCTTTGATTCTCCCAGCAGGTGCCCAGTTTGGCCTGACCCAGGAGATAACAGCTTACTCTCCTGGCCAAGCCGGCTGCCCCCTGGGAATTTCTACACCTTCAACATCCAGCCCAAGGTGCCCTCTCCTAACCCTACTGACTCCACGGCCCTTGTAACAGACCCGCCACACAGCACAGAGCACACTGCCCTGGTATCCAGCAGGTGCTGAATTAATATCTGTCGCCCGCTGTCTCTTACTGGTTTCTCTCTCTCCTGTCTTAAGCACCTGTACTGAGACCTGGTTTCATGCATCTAGATGTCCCCAGTGCCCAGCTCTGAGCCAGGCACGTAAAATGTGAAGGAAGTGAGGGAAGGGACTAAGAATTCCTGGATGGGTCGAGGAACTCGCCCTCGGACAGGGTGAAAAAAGGACGGCGCCTCAGCCCACAACCCGGCCCCCGCCCCGCCCCTCCCTACCCCCCTCCCCGCGAGGGACCGACAGGCGGCTGCGGAGAGCGCGTCCGAGCCCAGCAGGTGGCGCCGCAGCAGCGAGGCCCTCGGGCCCAAGCGGCCCGTCCGGAGACGCGGCCGGCAGTCACGCAGCCCCTCTTCCTTCCGCCGGGACGGCCCAGCGGGCCCGGCTCCGCGCACTCCCGTGCGCCCCGGGCGCGTGTCGGCCGGATCTCCTGGCGCACCGGGCTGCTCCCCGCCGCACCGTGCGCCATGGCGCTCCCCGGGACCTGGGCCCGCGGCTGGGCGGCAGCGGCCAAAATTGCCCAGAGGCGCCGCCACGCGGAGGGCGCGAGAGGATCTTCGAGTCGTGCGCCCCCGAGCTCGCGCGCGGCGCTTTACGTGCACGTGAGTGGGGCGGGGGCGGGGCGCAGGGGCCCACGTGGCGTCTGGTCGCGCGGTGAAGCCACCTCCGTCTGTCCCGGCCCGCAGACGAGGTCTGGGACGGGACGCGGTGCCCGGGCAAGGAAATGACCTGGATCGGAGACCTGAAGTCGCTGGTGCTCACCAGTTCGGTGACCTTGACCGAGTGATTTCCTTCTGAGCCTCAGTTTTCTCCTAATGAAGTGGGCATAATATCCCGTCTCACCTGCCTTGGGGAGTTGTGTGGCTTAGATGGTGTAGCCGTTGTTGAGGACTTTGGGATGGGGATGTGTGCTACGGAACCCTGCAAACGGCGAGGGCCGCTGGGGTCACCCCGCGCCCCGCTCATCCACCCTTGCCCCCCAGTGGCCGTACTGTGAGAAGCGCTGCAGTTACTGCAATTTCAACAAATACGTCCCCCGCGGCGTGGATGAGGCAGCCATGCGGAGCTGTCTGGTGACCGAGGCTCAGACTCTGCTGCGACTCAGCGGGGTGCGGAGGTCGGTACTGGGGCTGTAGGCGGGGTCTTGGAAGTTGTTTGGAGAGAGTAGCTAGGACCGGTGCAGGCGTCCCGGAGGGCTCCCCCAGGTCTCATCTTCTCCACCCTCTTTCCCCAGGGTGGAATCTGTGTTCTTTGGTGGGGGCACCCCCAGTCTGGCCAGTCCCAGCACTGTGGCTGCTGTCCTGGAGGCGGTGGACCAGGCAGCTCACTTGCCTGCAGACTCCGAAGTCACATTGGAGGCCAACCCCACTTCGCCCTCCGGCGCCAGGCTGGCAGCTTTTGGGGCTGCAGGGGTCAACAGGTTGTCCATCGGCCTCCAGGTAGCCCATCTCACCCACCGCATCCCAGGGCACCCAGACCTTCAGTGCTGTCTCTCCTCTGGTCACATTCATTAATTGGGCAAACATTTATTGAGCTCCTCTGGGTGTCAGGGCCCAGTAGGCACTGGAAAGTGTATGGAGACACTTGTGCTTAATTGCTGCTGTGTTAGCCCCCAGGCTTCATGAGGCTGGGATCATGCATGCCTTTTTTTATTTTTTAATCGCTGTATTCCAAGTGCCCACCATAGTGCATGGCACAGAGTAGACAGTCAAAAATTTTTGTTACATGATTGGAGACACAGGAAGAGGCAGACAGGTCATCAGATCATTGCAGCATGGTGAGGGCTGCCAATAAAGGGGTCCCAACAAAAGCCTTTCAGAGTACAGCCCGAAGGGCATCTCAGGCTGATGAAATCCTGGACACCTTCCTGGAGGAGGTGATCTTTGATGAGGCGGAGGACTTCCACAGGAGAGGGTGTGGGAGGAAAAGACACAGGATATGGAAGAGTCTTGCACGTTCTGGGGAGCTATGAGTCATTCTGTCACTGGAGAGGCGGAAGGCAAGGCTGCAGTGTAGCGCCCAAAAGCCTTGAGAATCATACTAGGGAGTTTTTGGGGGGCACCTGGCTGGCTCTGTCAGTGAAGTGTGTGACTCTTGGTCTCAGGGCCCTGAGTTCGGGCCCCACAGTAGAGATTACTTAAATAAATAAATGAATAAGCTTTAAAAAAAAAAAAAGACTTTTTTTGTGGTAAGAACAGATAACCTGAGATCAGTATACCCTCTTAACAAATTTTTTTAGTGTACAGTATGGTATTAATAACTATAAGCACAGTGTTGTACAGTAAGTCTCTGGAACTTATTAAGAGATGTTTTAAAAACTGGCCTGTATTCTTCAAAAATGTCATGTCATGAAAGACAAAGGCTGAGTATCTAGACTCAGAGAGAGGAAAGGAACGACGAGAGCTGACTGCAATGTGTGACCCAGTTGGATCCTGGATTCGGGTGGCAAGGGGAAGTTACTACAGTGAACATTATTGGGACAACTTTGAATATGACTCTGTATTAGATAATGGTGTCGTGTCAGTGTTACATTTCCTGAACTCTATAATTGGATTGTGGTTATGTAAGAGATTGTCCTTGTTCTTAGGAAATGTGCACTTTAGTATTTAGGGGTACAGGGGTATGGTGTTTAAGTTAATTACGTTAAAGCAACCACATTGCAAGTGCTCACTAGCGTGCGGTCAGTGGCTAGCATATTCTACTAAAATGTTCTGTGTCTGCAGTGACCAGTACAGTAGCTACTGACCACATGTCAGTTAACGCTTGGAATATGATTATTGAAATTTAACTAACTTTAAATAGCCACATGTGGTTAGTGTCTACTGTATCGGACAGTGCAGATAGAGGACATCTCTGTCATCCCAGAAAGTTCTTTTGGTCAGTGCTGGCCTATAACTTACTGCCAAATGATTCAACACTGTAATCACATACGTGTATATTTAGAGACAAAGCAAATGTGGCAAAATGTTATTCGGTGAATCTAAATGAAGGTGTTTATTGTACTCTTCTTTCAATTTTTGTAGAGGTTTAAAGTATTTTTCAAAAAGGAAAACTTAAAAACACTCTCGGCTTTGGAGTCAAGACAGTCCTAAATTCCAGGTCTGACTTTGTATGACGTTGGGCAAGTTACTTGGCATTTCTTTTTTTTTTTTTTTAAGACTTTATTTATTTGAGAGAGAGCACAAGCAAGAGAGCATGAGTGGAGGGGGTGAAGGGGTGGATCCCAGGACCCTGGGACCATGACCTGAGCCCAAGGCAGACGCTTAACCGACTGAGCCACCCAGGTGCCCCATTTAACACTTCTAAACCTTAGTTATCTTATCTATAAAATAGAGCTAATGTCAGAGGATTATAAGGATACATTACACGTTGTTTAAAAATGCTTTGCGCAGGGGCGCCTGGGTGGCTCAGTCGGTTAAGCGTCTGCCTTCAGCTCAGGTCATGATCCCAGGGTCCTGGGATCGAGCCCCGCATCGGGCTCCCTGCTCAGCGGGAAGCCTGCTGCTCCCTCTCCCACTCCCCCTGCTTGTGTTCCCTCTCTCGCTGTGTCTCTCTCTCTCAAATAAATAAATAAAATCTTAAAAAAAAAAAAAATGCTTTGCGCACAGTGAGCCATAACCCTTGGTCATGGCTTGTTCCAGCTCCCTGCCGTGTCCTGTGTACCTGTCCTCAGGAAGGTCGGTCACATGTTCCTGTCTGCCTCTGAGCTGGCCTCCGTGCTTACACCTGACCCTCTCTCCTCAGTCCCTGGATGACACCGAGCTCCAGCTGCTGGGGCGGACACACTCGGCCAGAGATGCTCTCCAGACACTGGCAGAGGCGCGGCGCCTCTTCCCCGGCCGCGTGTCTGTGGACCTGATGCTGGGGCTGCCAGCCCAGCAGGTGGGGCCGTGGCTCGGGCAGCTGCGGATGCTGCTGGGCTGCTGTGACGACCACCTCTCCCTCTACCAGCTGACCCTGGAGCGGGGCACCGCACTCTTCACCCAGGTGCAGCGGGGCACCCTTCCTGCCCCTGACCCCGAGCTCGCTGCTGAGATGTACCAGGAGGGACGGGCCGTGCTCCGGGAGGCCGGCTTCCGCCAGTATGAGGTCTCCAACTTCGCCCGGAATGTAAGTCCTGGGGCCCACGGCTGAAGTTGGGGAACAGGCAGGCTAAGCTGGGACTGGAGAACTGTGGCCCTCTGGGGAAGGGGGTTTCTGCTGGCTGCTCTCGAGGCCTGAGCTAGGATCTTCTAACCAGGGGCAGAAACTGGCCCACCTTCTTCACTCTGAACGGGCTATTCCCTCCCTCCCCGCAGGGGGCGCTCAGTACCCACAATTGGACTTACTGGCAGTGCGGTCAGTACGTTGGCATTGGGCCTGGTGAGTCCTCTGTGAACCGAAGAAGGGATGACTCAGGAGCAGAATGTCACGGCTGTGTGATCTTGGGCCACTTGTTAACCCCGCCAAGCCTCTGTTTCCTTCTGCATAAAGTGCAGCAACAAATAATACCTACTTTGTGTAGCTGTTCAATATATATTTTGAGATGCTGGGTATAGCGCCTGGCACCATGGTTCTCAATTGTTAACGTGTACCAGAATTACCTGGAGGGCTTGTTAAAATGCAGATCACTGGGCCCTGCGTCCAGAATTTCTGACTGGACGGGCTTGGATGGTGTAGGGCCCAAGGATTTACATTTCTAGCATATTAGATGCTATTTGTCCAGGGACCACATTTTGAGAGCCACTGATTCAACATCTGGCGAGCACCCAGCATTCGCTGCTACTGAAGTGGGGGTGGTGCTTGATGTTGCCAGGGGCCCACGGGCGATTTGTGCCCCAGGGGGCTGGGGGCCACACCCGGGAGGCTCGGATCCAGACCCTGGAGCCGGACAACTGGATGAAAGAGGTGATGCTGTTTGGGCACGGCACCCGGAGGCGCGTCCCCCTGGGCCAGCTGGAGCTGTGAGCATCTGAGGGGGACCTGCACCCCCAGAGCCCTCCCCACGTGCGCACCTTTGCTTCCTGCCTTGCCCTGCCCCCTCCCTCCCCATCCTGCATGTCCTTATATGTGTGTTAAGAACGGGGGGGGGGAGGCCCAGCTCTCTCCAGGACACCCTGATGGTTGTTCTCTCAGGCTAGAGGAAGTTTTGGCCATGGGGCTACGTACAGACGTGGGGATCACTCACCAGGTAAGGGGGGCTGGGGGGCGCTGTGGCACACCACTTCCTTCTCCTAAGTCCTGCAGAGTCACTCTCCCTTCTGTGCATGCACATGGGCACACACACCTAGTTCTCTGGGGCGGGTAACTGGAGATTGGCCTTGGCCCAGCCAAGGCCTGATGGGCAGAAACAGTGGGCAGGGTGGGGCTGTGGTGAGGACCCTGGAATAGGGCCACACTAGAGCCCGCCCACCCCCACCCCCACCCCCGGCTCTAGATGTGCATGAGTCATTGAGGAGATCCCTGTGCAGGCCGGACTCTCCCTTGCCCTTACCACACCCACAGACATGGGATCAGAGTAGCCTGGCCAGCTACCCACCATGGTCTCTGCACCCCTCACCCTTCTGGTTTCCCAGCACTGGCAGCAGTTTGAGCCCCAGCTGAGCCTCCGGGACGTGTTTGGAGCAAGCCAGGAGGTGAAGGCACTGCTGGCTCAGGGCCTGTTGCTGCTGGATCACAGGTGTGTTGGGGGGAGGGGGGGCTCATGCCAGGAGGCCCAGGGAGCCCTGACTACAGATCCACAGGCCCAGGAGGGAAAAGGACCGACGAGGAGGTGCCGGTGGGTGCTGGATGCTTTGTATTGCTGGAAGGCGAGGATTGAAATTGGTAAGACCAGGCGGTCATGCCCAGGCCTCTTGGTTTTCCAGGGGTCTTCGGTGTTCCTGGGAGGGTCTGGCTGTGCTGGACTCTCTGTTGCTGACCCTCCTGCCTCGACTCCAAGAGGCCTGGCAGCAGAGAACCCCCTCCCCTGTGCAAGGAGGATGACCAGACGCTCCTGTGTCCCAGGACCATGCCAGGTGGGCTTCGGGGGCGGGACTGAGGCTTTCCACTGGCAGGTGCCATCTCAGCACCAGTCACTGCCCAGCCTTGGCATCCTCAGGGGCATGGCAACAGTGAGGTGCATGCGAGGACATTTCTGGTTTGGGAACTTGCATCAGGGCCACCCACCACCACCAGAGAAGGAGTAATGGTTTCTGCAAGTGCCTCTCGTTAGTGGGCTCTAAAGCAAATCCTGGCTGGCAAGAGATTCTGAGAACTCTAGCGCTCAGGCTTCTAGCCCCTATGACATAGGGCAGGGACAGAGAGAGCCTGACGTGTGCTGGTGGACCTGTGCCTCCATCCAGTGCAGTGGCCTGCAGGACTCTGAGGACCATGGGAAGGATCAGAGCACTCTTTCTCTTTGGGCAACCAGGTTATGTCTGGGGTGCTAGAGCCTCATAGACCTTCCTGCGTCCCCTGCTCCCCTCCCCTCTACAGCCCTTGCCTCGAGAGAATGAAGGTGGGGGGAGCTAAGCAGGGAAAGGGGAGGGGAGAAGAATTCAGGAAACACCCAGAGCCTGGTAATTTTCCTCTGGCCTTTTACCTACAGAAGCATTTGCCTGGTTTTATTTAAACAGTCTAACAAACCCAGTGAGCCCGCCTTGACCTTGGTCTTCTCTTTTGTCCAGCCTCCTTCCCTGGAGGGTAGAATCCTGATTTGGGGACTCGAGCCTTAGTGTAGGGCTGAGGGCTCCTTCCCCCACTGTACATTCCATTTTGAAAAATTTCAAGCCTACGGAAAAGTTAAAAGCATAGTTCAATGTAAAGCACATAGCCTTCGCCGCAGGGTGTTTGTGCATCTGGAAAGAGCAAGTATTTGTAATGTCACCAAGGACATCTTCGACCTGTAAAAAAAAAGAAAGTAGCCATGTTTCCAGACTTTGTGCTCAGCCTGTAGAGTTACTGATTGCTAAATTTTGGCCACATTTACTTTGCCTTTGAATAGCTAGCTAGCTCGCTTTCTTTCTTTTTCTTTGCTGCACCATTTGAAAGAAAGGTGTAGACATCAAACATTTTAGCTTGTATCTCCTAAGAAAAAGAACATTCTCCTATATAGCCACGGCACTGCTGTCAACCTGAGAAAGGGTACTTTCATGCAGTAGTGTGCAGTCCTTTCTCAAATTTCCCCAAATGTCTCCAAAACACCATGAAGTTCCTTGGCTGGGGGCGGGGGAGGGGGGCAGGGACACAGGCGCCAGTGATGTTTTATGCTTTACTTTTGGCTATTACATCTGTTTGGTCTTTTTTTAAAAACCCTCTTTTCTTTTTTTGTTTATTTTTATGACAGTAGATTTTTCAGAGTCAAGGCCACTTGTCTTACAGAATGTCCCATATTCTGGGTATATCTGTTTGCTAATGATTGGGTTTAGGTAAAATATTTTTGGCAAGAGTACATATAGATATCATGTAGCTCAAGGTACATAATGCCAGGTCAGGCCCCTCTCACTTGACTAAGGGGGTGGGTGCCCAGCCTGCCCATCATACAAGTACATTTTTTCTTGGAGATGAATAGATTATCAGTAGGGGTGATACCTTGAGAACAAACGAATGCCCTGTTCCCTGACAGTCATTGCTGCAGTGATGTTAGCATTCACTGCTGATCCTTGCCGAAATCAGTGACTACATTGGGAGGTGCAGAATGTTCATTCCTGACTCTTAACATCCTGTCTACGTTTGTAACTGGCGTTCATCCATAAAAAAAAGAGCTTTCCCTTTTTTTTTTAACTTTTTTTTTTTTTAAAGATTTTATTTATTTATTTGAGAGAGAGAGAGAATGAGAGATAGCACAAGAGGGAAGAGGGTCAGAGGGAGAAGCAGACTCCCCGCCGAGCAGGGAGCCCGATGTGGGACTCGATCCCAGGACTCCAGGATCATGACCCGAGCCGAAGGCAGTCGCTTAACCAACTGAGCCACCCAGGCGCCCTTTTTAAACTTTTTTTTACTATTGTTTATAAAGATTTTTATTCATTTATTCGACCGAGAGAGAGAGAGAGAGAGAGAGAGCACAAGGAGAGGGGGCGGCAGGCAGAGGGAGAAGAGAAGCAGGCTCCCGGCTGAGCAGGGAGGGAGCCTGATGCGGGGCTCGATCCTAGGACCCCGGGATCATGACCTGAGCCCAAGGCAGACACTTAACTGACTGAGCCACCCAGGCGCCCCCCCTTTGTTTTTTAAAGGGCTGAAACCCTTAACCTAGAAATTGTATGCAGGGTGTGTGTGTATGTGAGAGAGACAGATGGGTGAGGGAGAGAGAAAAGAAAGGGGCATTTTCCTGTGCAGAGGTTCTGTAACTTTCGTGCCTTATCGTATCAAAGGGTCCTGTGATGTCAAAAGTAATTTAGTTCTGGGGCTCATCCGGGCATGCTAATAAGCTCAGCCTCTGGCTGGGTGACTCAAGATGGGGTTCCCTCCACCCCGCAGATACGGGAGCCCGTGCGGTCCCTGGGTGCCTAATGGGTGTATCGGTCCTTCTTTGACCTTGTGGTAACATGGTTACTGTCACTACCTGTCCTTCAGTCGTGAAATATTCAACAAGCAACAAGCACTAATGGTGTGCTCGGCTTGGCGCAGGGCATATGCAGAGATGAATGAGACCCATCCCAGCCCTGGAACTCACTGCCATATTGATAGATGTGTCAAGAGATAAACTCCAAGGTTATCGGTAAAGGTGGGTGGGCCGGCTAAGGAAGCGGAAGCCAGCAGCGGCCGCATATGTGGTTCTGAAGGGCTGGGAGCTGGGAAGGGCGTATATGGTTTTTTCCTGCCCCCTCTGGCCCTGGGGCTGCTGGAAGGGTGAGCTGTGCTACTGGGGGTGGGGAGCCTTTCTTCCCGAGCCTTCCCCTGATCTTGATATTCAAGAAGTGAGCACGGGGCCAGGGCAGGTGCAGCATCAGATAACCTAGGTGCGCTCGGGTTTCTCCCAGCTGCCGGGGCTCGTGCCACCCGAGATGTCTGGGCCCTCCCTGCTGGGGCACCTCCCGAGGCCGGCACAGAGGGCTTGGACAGGAGCCAGAGCCCAGTGCAGGCAGCACGGATCACCTTCTGTGATTCAGCCTCGTCCCACCCTCAGCAACTGAATCAGAATCTCTGGGAGGTGGAGCCCAGGCGGCTAGCTTTAAAAATGCTTCCTAAGCAGCTCTAATGAGCAGGCCAGTGCGGGAAGCCCTGACATCTGCCTTCCATCCTGAGGGGCTGAGGTCAGGAGGACCAAGGGGGGCAGGGCTCCTTTTCGACAGGACACAGTGGAGTGGGGCCCCTCCCACTGAGTCCTGGGCCTTCCGTGGCTCATTCATCAGAGGGGTTCTTCTCACTTGGGAGGTTTTGGTTGTCATCTTTTCACCCGCCCTGCTGAAAGCACGGGAACACAAAAGGGGACAAGAAGCCACTTTGGAGACAAAGTGATGAGAGGAGCTGGGGAAATGGAATATGTGAGTGTGTGCTTACAACACGAAGGACCAAGCCTTCCACGTGCAAGAACATTACAGTTTTAAGCCTTAAACTGAGTCGTCCCCATCCCCACCAGGTAGTGTGAAGTAGGCAGGACAGCTATTTTATTTTATTTTATTATTACAATTTTTTTTTAAGTAGGCTCTACACCCAACATGGGGCTCAACCTCGAGACCCCAACATCGAGAGCCACATGCTCTGCTGACTGGGCCAGCCAGGTGCCCCTGGGGCAGCTATTTTAATTTCCATTTTACACTCGGGGCCATTGAGATTCTTGACTCAAGTCATATGAGGAGTGAGTAGCACACCTGGTGTGATGCTTCTGGACATCCAGAACTTTCTGTTACATCGTCATTTTTTTTTTTTAATTTTTTTTAAAGATTTTATTTATTTATTTGAGAGACAGAGAATGAGAGACAGAGAGCACGAGAGGGAAGAGGGTCAGAGGGAGAAGCAGACTCCCTGCCGAGCAGGGAGCCCGATGCGGGACTCGATCCCGGGACTCCAGGATCATGACCTGAGCCGAAGGCAGTCGCCCAACCAACTGAGCCACCCAGGCGCCCCTGCATCGTCATTTTATAACAGGTCAGTTAACCTGTCTCTTAAATTAGGCAGATTTCTGACTACTTTCTGGCCTCTCTCCCTCAGGCTTGCAGCTGCTGTGTCTGCCCAGTGCCAGGTAGTTGGACTTGGTATCTCCGTTTTCCCTCCCAAAGAGGCTCCAGCAGTGAGGCCATCCACTTCCTGGGACAGGACTACATGCTGCAAAGAAAAGGACTTGAAATAATAGGATTGCTATAGAATCAGTGTTTGTGGCCCCCACCCCCAAGAATTCATACCTGGAAACTGAATCCCCAAGGTGATGGTATTAGGAGGTAGGACCTTTGGGCGGTGACTAGGTCATGGGGGTGGAGCCTTAGTGCCTTTCTAAAAGAGGCCCCAGAGGACCCCTGGCCCCTTCCACCACATGAGGACATGGAGAGAAGATGGACGTCTGCAAACCAGGAAGTGGACCCTCAGCAGACCCCAGATCTGCCAGCACCTTGATCTTGGACTTCCCCGCCTCCAGAACTGAGAAGTAAATGGTTATTGTTTAAGCCACCCAGTCTATGGTGTTTTTGTTACAGCAGCCCAAACGGACTAAGACAAGGGGGAAATAACCTGCCTGGTAGATTGCGTTAATTGTTCGAAATGTCTACTGGCCCTCCTCGAGTGCCCCTCCCTGAGCACCCTTGGGAGAGGATATGCCTGCCCTGCTGGACCTGGGCAGGGCCATGACCGTGGCCTGGCGTGGTCTGTAAGAGCCCACGGGTGGGCCATTGTCTCCTCCCTCAGCCACAGAGGCCTGACATGTTCAGATAGAGACAGACTGTCAGTTTGGGGCCCGGAGTGAAGATGGGGGCAGAGGAGCGGCTGACCCCAACAGACGAGCAGGAGCGAGAAATTACCATTTGTCGGGAACTGGTAGGTTTTCAGGGTGTTACTGCGGCATAATTGAGACCTCCCTGGCTGATACAGGCTATAATCCCACCATTCAAAGATGAATCACCGTCAGGATTCCGGTATGTAACTGTAGAAATTCTTATATGCAAATGAGCATGTTTACACACACAGTCCTACAAAAATGGGATCATCTAGCTCTTGCTGTGGAGCCTTCTCGTACCTAATATGTG